AAAAAAAAAAAAAAAAAAAAACGAAAGTGAAAAAGTAAATTTTCAGTGATATGATCAGTTTACCTGACAAATCTTTAGCACTAAATAATTTAGAGTATTATTTAAAAGTAATATGAGTTCAGATTGCTAAGAATGAAAACTAGTCAAGAATTAACTTAATAGCTATGAGATCTATGCCAAGTTATGTCACCACCCCTGCCTCAGCCTCCTTGTACTGAAAATGAAAATAATAGTTCCTATCTCACAGGATTTTGTGAAAAGTAAATGACATAAATACAAGTTTAGCTTTTAGCAGTGTCTGGCACATATAAAAGCCAACAGTCTCATCCAGGGGTCAGAACACTTTTTGGAAAGGACCAAAATAGTAAATATTTAAGGAGTGCAAGGCATATGGTCTAGATGTCACAACTATTCTACTTGATCTTGCTGTATGAAAATAGCCACAGACAATACATAAACAAATGAGCATAGCTGTGCTTCAACAAAACTTTATGGAAATTAAAATTAAGTTTCACAAAATATTATTCTCTTGTTTTTGTTTCAACTATTCAAACATGTAAAATCTATTCTTAGCTCAGGAACTGACTGCAAAAAAACAAAAGCAAGTAGTGCCCTAGTTTGCCAACACTGGTGTAGTCTCCGCTTGTCAGCAGCTAGCTGTCTGTATAAGCCTAGGCAGTCAGTTTTATAACTGACTGCCTAGGTAAAGTATCATCACATAGAAAACAGGAATAATACCTTCCAGCCAGTTATGAGAAGTCAATGAGACAATGAATATGCAAGCACTCTGAATGTTAGGCTGCACTATACAAAAACAGTAGAAGGTGGCATCGATAATAAATACTTGTTTTAAAAAACTGGATTCCAAACTGCACTGTAGCAAAAATTATGAGACAGGAAATTATCACTGTAGAGACAGTGTGAGATGGTAAAAGAATTTTTGAGTCAGACATTCCAGGGCCCACATCAGGTTCCCCAATTTAAGAGATGTATGGTCTTCAGTATTTAAAATCTCTGATGAATATTAATTTCCTTAAATGTAAAACCAGTTAAGAGATCTCCTACCTCATAAAACTATGAGACACAAGTAAATAACCCACCTAGTGCCTGCACACTTATTAGGTGCTCAATTGGAAAAAAAAAAAAAAAAATGGCAGTCGTTGGTGCTATTATCGTCAGAATGCTGATCCTAAATATTCCTTAGAAGAATGTAATAGGGAGAGGGCGAAGTCTCAGAATTGGAGCCTGCGCACGTTTTGGGACTAGGACCTGGTTTCCTGCCAACCTAATGAACCTAAATAGGCCTCTACGGGGCTCAGTCTTCCAGTCTGCAGATGATCCCTCAGGACCTTTTAGCTCTATTCATCACTAGGTACCGTGAACTCCGTTCAACACCCCGGGACCCAACCAGGCTCGAGAGCAAAGCCACTGAAAAAATAATACCCTAGACGGTTACTTACCTGTCACCGAAAACCCCTCCCCAGCCGCAGCCTGAGTCATAAATTAAAGTACGACAGCAGGGTAAGGAAGACATGAGACTCACCTGGCTCAAAGTAGACCCGCTAGGTGCAGACCCAACAGAAGCAAACTCCGGCCGAGCTGCAGTCTCCAAGTTGTCCATTTTAATTTTAAATCTCGCGGGAAGGCTCGGGAGCCAATCGCTGCTTCCGCCCTCTGACCCGGAAACAAACTCTGAGCGCGCCGCAGCATCCCCCAGCGGAGACCAGATTCCTTCTGACCACTTCCCGACGCCCCTGGTGCGTATCACACGGGAACCCAGGGGCCGCGCCGCTCTGCTCCTGGCCGCCCGCTCTCGCATCCTTTTCGTGCGAGTTCCTTCTCTCCCCGGGCGGTGCTGCACCTCTCTTCCTTCTGACCTGGGGCTTCGGGAGGTGGTAGCGGGGTCTCGCGGGACTTGCCTGCCTGGGGAGAGGTGTTGGGGTTCTTTGAGAGGACTTAAGTTGTTCCTTCCGTCTTTTCCCCTCCACTTTTAGAGGACAAGTCCAGCCCGCCTTGTACAGTAAAACCCTGAGAATGTAGTGAGATTGGGCACTAGTTTAACGAGGAATAGGGGACCAAGTTTCCTGACCTCGAATCTTTTCCACTTCTGACACCGCGCTGCCTCTGAGGGCATCCACCTGCTGGTCACCTTTAACTATTGCCCAGTCCCGGATCCCCTCTCCTATGGTTACTATTTTATAGGCTCCCTGAGGTGGGATTCCTCTGATTCTCAATAAATACTTATCAGGTTCTTGATGTGTTTGTTACTGAGCCCAACTGTTCTCAGAACAACTCCTGCATCCAGTTAAGAGAAAAAAGACCTCTTTAGATCCCTAAATCTCTGGGAATGCTGCTTCCACAGTGCACACCAGGCCATGACAGGCTGGTTGAAATTTTGTGCCTAGTTTTATGAATATTATCTTTATGTCACACGTTTCGGCACTCCTTCCTCCAGATCCTCTATTTTGGATCTGCTTATTTTATTGCTCTTTTCACACTGAATCATGACCATTACCGGATATTGTAATCTTCAAGGTGGAGGGCTGTGTTTTACTTCTCTAGCACTGGTGTCCAACACATAGTAAAGTATTTTAAATGCTGTCTCGCCTTAGGAGCTTGGCAGCTAACCTATTAAAGTCTCCATTTCTTTCTCTGTAAAATGGGAACTGTAAGTAGTACCTTCCTCTTAAGTTTGCAAATATAGGTGTCCTGATGTCAGTTAAATCCTCAACATGGAACTTACAAGCGGTGCTTCGTAAATGTTAAGTATCATTAATTTTTATGAGTATATTTATTACAGTGGTTACATCTTCCAAGTACTTACTATATCTTTTAGGTCATCTAAACAGGATATTATGATACATTCTGCAGGTATCACTCATAAAGTATTTAAAGAAGTACTTGAAATTGTTTAGCTGTCTCTGGCATCTGAAACACCATGTCCTTATTGTATTTGCTGAAAGTGACTAACACTTTGATGGTTTCTGTCTTAACTGTGTCTGTGCTATCATCCACAGTTTCGTGACCTTGTCCAGTAGAAGGCTATTTTATTTTTACAACTGTTCAAGTATTGACATACAAGATGAAGCAAGATGCCACAAGAAATGCTGCCTACACTGTGGATTGTGAAGATTATGTGCATGTGGTAGAATTTAATCCCTTTGAGAGTGGGGATTCAGGAAACCTAATTGCATATGGTGGCAGTAATTATGTGGTCATTGGCACGTGTACATTTCAGGTTAGTGTACAAACTCAGTGAATGACAGTGCAGCTATTTCAGAGCTTAAAAAATTTTTTTGGTAAACTTTGGCTAAATTTGGAAAGCATATTGAGTTTGAATGTAAGAAAAAAAAATGATATGAAGAACTACCGAGGAAGATATTCCAGTAATATATGCCTGAGACTTGTGGAAACATTAAGTAGTGAAAAAAAAGACTGTAAGGCTTCTCTTTTGCCTCATGTTTAGAAATGCAATATCCTAGTAATTGAAGGTTGTGATTAACTGAACATTTGGTGTGTACAGGGAAACAAATGAATTCTAAGTAATCTAGTTTTTCTACATTCCACTTTGACTTAGGAAACAAGCCTTAAAAATGGTCCTCCAGGAGATTTTACAGCTGTCAGGATATTCAGCTTTTCTATTCATATGCTCTCTTGCTTCTCATACATCTAAAGCATACATCCAGAGTGTACAAAGTATGAGACCATATTAATTGAACAGACAATTTAGCACAGTCATTAAGACAATGAGCTCTGGCACCAAAATGCTTAGATTTTTACTCCTACCTGGCTTTACCTCTTAATAGCTGTATGACCTTGAGCAGGTACTTAACCTCTCTTCTATAAAAATGATGAAAATAATACTTAATGGGGTGTTATGAGAATGTAGTGAGTTAGTACATGAGAAGTTCCTGGAAGGCATCTGGCACATTTAATGCATATATATGCACACACACACACATATGTTTTAACTGTCATTGATTTGGTCAGCATTGCCCCCTAGCACAGGCCCATATTTAATCACCAAAGCAAGATTGTTTCTGATGAGCACACACCATGTTTTCTCACAGGAAATAGTTCCACATGTGGAAGAGTCTAAACAATGAGAGTTCAACTCTCAGAAATCTTGGCTAATCCTTAATTTACCAGAATATTATTCATAGAACAGTATTTCTCAAGATTAATCAATGAGGTAATTTGACAGTGATCAGTTTTCAAAGATTTAAAGTAACTTTACCACTCCCATACTGTTTATAAACATTATTTTCTCTTTTACTTGGGAAGCAGTTCAGTATCTTACAATGTTTTGGCATCATAAGTGCAGTTTAGCATTTTGCAATGCAATAAATATATAAAGTTATACAAAGTTAGACTGCATGAGTATTTATCCTAAGGAGAAAGTATGAATTAAAGGCTTCAGTTTTTTGGTGTCTGAGTAGAATACAGGAAGTCTTACGTTGTCCCACGTTGTCTCTTAAGGTTGGGATAGGAAGTGCTCGCTTTCACACTAAGTGACCCTCGGTCTGACTAGCTGGACTACTTGGTTAGGATCAAAAAAAGTCCACATTATTAAGAGAAATAACACACTCTTGAAAAAGACTGAGGGAAAAACCATCCTTCCAGTATAGGCTACTAACCTACGAAAGAATAGAGCAGCTCCTTACAGGTGAAACTTTTACTTCATTACTTTTAAAATTAATAGCTGTAAACATAGAATTGTGTTTAAAAAAATACTGAAAAAATATACCTTAATCTCTTGTTTATGTCCAGCTAGGAAATGAGAAAGTCAAGAAGGGAGAAAAAAATTAAGAAGAAAGGCAGAGGTGATGAGTGGCAGAGAGAAAATGAAAGCAAAAGACAAAACGAGAAGAGAACTAACAAAAACATTTGTATTGCTCTGTCATGTCTTGCACATTGTCCTTGTTCATCTTCAGACCTGTCAGATTGGCAATCTGGGTCTTACAGCCAAGTTACCTAAAGAAAGAATTGGATTTTATTAATTTGGCAAGTAATGAACACAAATATTCTGTGCCAAGTATCGGAGATACAATTAAACAACTGTCCCTGACCTCATAGAGTTTCCATTTTACTTCAAAGAAGTTCAGGGATTTGTAAATGACTGGTAAATAAAAAAACAAGACCTAGACCTTGGTTCTAAACCCCTGTTCTTTTCCCTCTGTGCTATTCAGACAGGTTGCAGCCATATTTCAAATAGTTCTGCAAGAGAATTGAATCCCAATAATCTGTGTTTGAGGATTCAGAATAAATTATTGCTTCCCTTTAAAGTTTTTTTTTATCTAATTAAACACTATTAAACATTGTATTTTCTCATGTTAGAATCTTCAAGTTTCATAGTATCCAATTTCTGCCTCCCTCTTGTCTGAGACAACATGAAGTAAAGGTAAATTGAATTGAAAGCTTTCCACTTTCCTGTTGGAAAGGCAATCCTCATTCTAAGACTCTTAGGAAACAGTGCACTAGGTTTAAATATCAACAAAGCATTTTTCAGAATCTTACTGTGTTCTTTTGAATATGGAAATTTGAGCTGAATGATGGTACTGTTAATTGATGTCATGTATTTGTCAAGTATTAAGTGCAAATCAGGTGCTGGGAACCGGTAACACGTGTTAAAAAAGCAAGGACTCTGACCTCAGGATGTTTAAACGTAAAACAATGCAGTAAGAAAACTGCTTTAAAAAGTCCTATGTGCAAAGGGTGGAGGAAACATGAAAGTTTCTAGTCTATTCAAAGGGTCACCAGTAATGCATCGGGGCCCTTACTGGGATTTGAATGAGAACATTTGATTTAAGCAAGCTCGTTGAATTTATATAGAACATGAAGCTGACAAGGATACCTAATGCTTTGATGATAAACTGCATTTAACAAGTATTTATTAAGCACCTATTGTTTGCCAGACACTGTACTTAGAATTGAGCTATCCTTTAATAGATCGGATTAATGGACCAAGTTGAACAAGCTAAAAATTTATAAAGTCTTGAAATGATAGACTGCTAAAGCTAGAAGAGATAATTGTGACTTATAGTTTTTAGTCACCTGGATGTTCACCATGAGTCAGTGCAATGATTAACTGCCAAATTCAATGCTGTTCTGTAGAAATACAATGTGAGCCACAGGTATATAAATTTAAGTGTTATAGCAAACACATTAAAAGTAAAAACCAGGTGAAATTAATTTTAATGTTTTTTTTAACCCATTGTATCCAAAATATTTCATGTGTGACCAATATGAGAAATTAATGAGGGGCTCCTAGGTGGCTCAGTCAGCTAAGCATCTGGTTTCAGCTCAGGGCGTGATCTCGCAGTTTGTGAGTTCAAGCCCTTCATCAGGCTCTGTGCTGACAGCTCAGAACCTGGAGCCTGCTTCACACTCTGTGTCTCCCTCTCTCTCTCTGCCCTCCCTGGCTCACACTCTGCCTCTCTCTCTCAAAAGTAAACATTAAAAAAATTTTTTTTAATTTATGAGATATTTTATGTTGGTGTGGATTTTGCACTTTATAAAATATACACAGTTTTGAACTAGCTATATTTCAGGTGCTTAATCACCCCATGTGACTGGTGGCTACCATGCTGGACAGTATAGCTCTATATTCTCCTGTATAAATTCACAGGTTGTTTAATGTTTACTTCAGTTCTCAGCAGTGTATATTATGATGCAAAGCAGATGATGTATTCAAAGACAGATTTCAGAATGCTGTTAAAATGTTTGAAACCATCATGTGAAAGAGGGATTAGACTCAGAATGGTAGATGTATTTTGTGTTACTTGTCAATTCTGAGTTGAGTTGTGGCTTAATAGCGCTTTAAGACCGATGCTGAATCTGCTCTTTGAGTGCATTCACCTAAAGAGAGATCAGCTGTGGCCAGACACTTGCCATCACTAAAGTAGACTTAATCCATATGGTTCCAGAAAGCAGGAGCACTGAATAGAATTTACATGGGAACAGAGTTAGGTTTAACGTTAAAGAGAACTCTTCTAATCAGAACTACCCCTGAGTTGAATAAGCTCCCCCCAAGAAGTAGCTAATTTCCTGTCACCGAATGTGCAGAGAAGGGTTGTGCAAACTCTCTTCAGATGTTCTATAAATTCAAGTGTGAGATGAGAGAAGTGGACTAGGTAAACTTTTACAGTCTCATCTGACTAAAATTCTGTGTTTGGCCTTAAATGGGTGTGGTGGGAAAGCCTACCAATTTCAAACCCTTAGAATAGCCCTTTCAATCAACCTGGCTTTGTCCCAACTTCAAATACGCCAGAGCCTTATATAATGATTTGTACTGTAGCAAGTTTTCCAAAGTGTCTTAATTTCCTTCCTATACAATACTGCCTACACCCCAAACTAAACCTAAAATAACATTCGTCTCTGCCTATACCACACACACACCCTAGCCTTTTAGTTGGCTCCATGGCAGACATTGCTGCCAGGAAAAAAGGTTTCACTGGTAATACATAAAGCTCAGGGTATAGAGTCCCTGGATTTCTTTATCTCCACCGGCCACCCAATAACTCCATATGTACTATGGGTAACAAATTATAGAACCCAATTGTCAACACTGTTGTTACAGTCGCAAAGTAAAGTGTGTTTTGATGGTGAAACTTCATTTTTAGAAGATTGATTTGTCCAGTGTGGAAAAATAGATGTAACCCAAACTATGAAGTCAGCTATGATTAGGCTCTTAACCTTATTTTAAAATTGCTTAGTGGTTGCTGCCTTGGCATATCTGGCTGTTAGCTATACAGTTATTATACACACAGATTATGAAGTAATAAAAGTTGACTGTTTTTCTTTCCTTGATAAGTACATTTCTATCTCCTTTTTTTCATTTATGGAAAAACTTTTTGTTGTTAACTCTAAGTTCATCTGAAATTTAAAGTTATTTTCAAGGGGCATCTGAATTATTTAGAGAAAACCCTGTGTAATGTATCTGTGAAATGGCTTTGCTAAGGATCCCAAAGGCTATCCTGGAAAAAATCTACACATCCAATAGGATTCACTTTAAGTACACACTCTAAAACTTTGCATTTATTTTTTTTTTATGTTTATTTATTTTTGAGACAGAGAGAAACAGAGCATGAATGGGGGAGGGTCAGAGAGAGGGAGACACAGAATCTGAAGCAGGCTCCAGGCTCTGAGCTGTCAGCACAGAGCCTGATGCGGGGCTTGAACTCACGGACTGTGAGATCATGACCTGGGCCGAAGTCGGATGCTTAACTGACTGAGCCACCCAGGCGTCCCTGAAACTTTGCATTTAGATTCAGGATGAATGGAGTTCTTAGAACAGGCCTTTAGGTAATATTCCTATCTATGTAGACATATGTATTCATTAAATAACAAGTTTCACCTGCTCTGGATTTTTTTTTCCTTGATGATGTTAGAATTTTATAAAATTATAAAAGAATTATAAAGGATAACTTACAAAAGGTAACTACAGCCACTTAATACAGAGGATTCCTTGGGCAAATTTGTCATGAAAAATTTTGCTGGAGTCTCTAGACCAGTTAGGGTATTGATTTAAATAACAAGACAAGGATTTACTTATTTTTAAATTACGATATTTTAAGCCTATAAAAAGTATTTTAAAATATGTATTATCTATAAAAAGTATAAAGAATAATAAAATAGGGGCACCTGGATGACTCAGTCACTTGAGCATCCAGCACTTGATTTCAGCTCAGGTCATGATCTCATGGTGAGGCTGGGCCCCGCATAGGGGCTATCAGTGCAAAGCCTGCATGGGATTCTCTCTCCCTCTCTCTCTGCCCCTCACCCTTTCTCAAAATAAACAAATATTTTAAAAAAGAAGAAGAAGAAAATATGTTCCTGTATACCCACAACCTGGCTTAAGCAATGGAACATTAGTAATTCCCTCGAAGCCCTCTGGGTGTTCTCCCCTTACGGCCTTTCCTTCTCACCCCCAAGAGTCTGAAATTTTATGTTGGGGATTCTTTGTTTTTCTTTATAGAATTACCATATATGTAGGTGTTACAAATCAGTATATTGTATTTCATGTTTTAACCTTTGTTTTAATGAAATTATTCTGTATTCTGTTCTACAGTATGTTGCTCTTACCATTGCATTTGTTAGATTCCTCCATGTCAAAGTTCATTTATTTCCATTGTTATATGATACACAAATATACCATGATTAATCTATTCTTCTGTTGGCTATTTGGGTCACTTTTTGTTTTTTACTCTTGAAAACCTTGCCAATACGCATATTCTTATGTCTTCTGCTTGTTTTGTTACCTCCTTTCATTGTTTTCTTCCCTGTTAATTTGGAGGTTGTACATGCTGTTTCTTTTAATGGTTACCAAAGACACTTTAACATACACACTTAATTAGACAAAGTCAAAATTAATATCTTTAACTTCTTCATGAACAAAATAAGGATCTTTGACTCTTTGAACTATTACCACACCCTCCAGACTTATATTACTGTCATATTTTAGTTCTGTCATTTTTCTTTTCACTTTAACACACGAATTTAAGTGTTTTATGTGGCTAATATTTGTTTAGATTAACCCACCTGCTTGCCTTTGATTTTTTTACTCACTTTTTCTTACATCTCAGGCCTGCCTTCTGGGATCATTTTTCTTCACCTGAAAGCACATTCTTTACTAAAAGAAAAACTTTACTACTAAATTTTTACTGCTAAGTTATTTACTACTAAATAATTTCTAATATTTTACATTTTTCCAGCCACTTAAGGTGTCTGTTGCAAATTACTCATAGTTATTTACAACTCCTTAAAAATCTAAAAATGATTTTCATCTCATGGGCCTTACAAAAACAAGCCAGAGGTCAGATTTTGCACAACATTGGTTGCCACCATCTGCTTTAGATCTTTCAGTGAGAGTTTATTGATGCTAAGTCTTGGTTTTTGTTTTTCTGAAAATATCTTTAGTACAGCTTCATTCTTGAAGTGTTTAGTTCTAGAGTTTTTTTCAGTCATCATTTTGGAGCTCTTATTCTACTATCTTCATGCATTTGTTGTTTCTGCTGAGAAGTCCATGGTTGTCCTTTTATAGGAAATCTCTTGTGTAGGGAACCTGTCTTTTCTTCTGGCTGCTGTTGCTGACACCTCCCCCTACCCACCTCCCCCACCCCACACACACACCTGGCCTTCTCCCTCCCCACCACTCTCTCCCTCAATGTGTATATACATATACACACAAATATATATCATGAGAGTTTGTGTGTATATTCTGAAGCTTCACTATGTTGTATCTGCCTGCAGATTTTTTATTTAAGCCAACTGGGATGTATTTTTCTTTCTAAATGTGCATATTGGTGCCTGTCATCAAGTATGGAGAGGATCCTTTGTCATTATCTCTTCAAATATTGCCTCTTCCCTCATTCCCTCTATTCACTCCTCTATAGCCCCAATTAGATACGTGGTAGACCTTTTCATTGAATCCCTTTTCTCTTGTTGTCTTCACTTTGCTCCATTCTGAGTAATTTTTTTCAAATCTGTCTTCCAGCTGCTCTAAGCATTGATTTTTTTTTTTTCCATTATGGTATTTTCATCTAAATTTTTTGTTTGGTTCTTTTTAAAATCTGCCTAATCATTTTTGGTAATCTCTTGTTGCTTACTCATACTTGTGTTTGTGATACTTTTTTTCCACGTATATGAGTGCATGCATGTAAGATCATATTTGATTGAACTATATCTGTGGGAACTTTTTGAGACCTGGGTAGAGGTAGTTCATCCAAAGAGAATTTGCTTTTGTCTGTCAAGTGCTTGGGGCCACTACCAACATATGGCCGTTTTAAAATGTTATTTTCTGAAGCACATAGTGTGAATTCAGGCCCCAAACTTATGTGAGGACCAGTTTATGGTTGAGATTTTCTTCTAAGTGGCATTTCTCTTTCTTAGCCTTCACCCATGGTAGACATTTTGTATAGTAGTTTCGGTTTTTTGGTTTTATTCCTACTTCCCCTTTAGAAGTCCTGGATCTATGCAGAAGTCTCTAATCATCCCTCTTTGTGCAGGCACTAAGCTTTGTCTTTTTGCCTTGCAAACAAGCAGTTAGTTATTGGATGTGGGCAGAAGTACTTAAGATAGCTGCATGCCTAAGTGCTCAGTTGCTTCCCTGGACTTGGATTTTTGCATTATTTTTATAATGGGAAAGCTTTTCAGGTGAACATCCATATTGCCAGACCTAGATGACTTGGCTTTTCAAAATTCATTTTTTCTTCCTCCTCTTCCCATGAAGATAAACAGAAATCATTTTACTAGTACTGAGCGGGTAAATAAGCTGACTTTAATTAAACATCTAACCTAGAATCCAAAAGACTAACCAGATTGTATCAACATATTCACTATTCATAGACTGTAATAGTATTAGATGAACAATTTGTAACATCTTATACATGTATAGTGCCATATATAATACTATGTGAAAATTATTGATATTCATTGTAATGACTGAGGCATTATCTTGTACATAACCAAAACTTTATGTTCGGTATGTATTTTTTTAATATTGTCAGTTCGATTATGTATGGTAATTCATTTACCTAGAATATTTTGATTTTTAGAGGATTCAATTTTCATTGCATTTGGTGTGAAATATGTTCACTATCAGGAATAAAATGTCTTCTAAGTAAGATAAAGTATAACATGTTCACTGTTTATTTTTAGTGGCTCTAGAGATTTATTCTTTGAGGCTTAGAAAGTTTTATCGATTTTTGTCATCGTTGTTCAGTAAACCACTTAAATCTCAGTATCTAATTTGTTTTTGAACTTACAAAAGAATATACATGGCCTCCTGATAAATTCTTCATTATAACGAAATGGGGTGTTATAGTGTTTGTTCTTATAACTTATTAAAACATTTACTATGTATGTTTAGGAAGAAGAAGCAGACGTGGACGGAATTCAGTATAAAACACTACGAACATTTCAGCATGGAGTCAGGGTTGATGGCATAGCTTGGAGCCCAGAAACTAGACTTGATTCATTGCCTCCAATAATCAAGTAAGTTTAAAACTATTAAATGCAGTATTTATTAATGTCCTTTGTTGTAAGTGATCTGAAGCCTTTGATCATAAGGACATTTCTCCTCCATTTCCTTTTTCCCCACTTTTAGATATTAGCTTTTTTTTTTTAATGTTTTATTTCTTTTTGAGACAGAGACAGAGCATGAGCAGGGGAGGAGCAGAGAGAGAGAGAGACAAAGAATCCAAAGCAGGCTCCAGGCCCTGAGCTGTCAGCACAGAGCCCCATGCAGAGCTCAAACCCACAAACCACGAGATCATGACCTGAGCCTAAGTCAGACGCTCGACTGACTGAGCCACCCAGGCGCCCCTAGACATTAGCAATTTTAACATTGGCCATTATTTTGTAATTTAGGCTTATTATCTGAATATGTGATTTAAATATGCAACATGGTAGTGGTACTTTGAGAATATGTTTGGGCCTGACTACATAAATTTTTACTTGAGTTTCACCTAAATCATTTGAGGTCTTCACAGATTCTTCACTGAGTCCACTACTTACTGAAAGTACAACTCTGTTGAAATAAGTAAATGTGGTTGAGTCATTAATCAAACTTACTGCTGCACACATAGGCCAATGTCACATGTACATGTTTAACAGTATATAAAGCGGCAGTTCTAATACTGGAGCTTCAGTTTTTATGAAAACATTAGAAAAGAACAATTGTTTTTTGAGAAACATCTTGACACTACCTGCTGAGGCCTTCTCCACAAAGGCAATAATAATATGTCAGGTTATTTAGTGCTTGTTGCAGAACACTAACCTTGCTTCCACAGATGTCAAATCTAAAAGATATGTCTTCTTTTAGTAAACAGCTTAGCAGCCATAAGTTAGCTCTCACTGAGCTAACCTAATTTTTTTAAATTAAGGGATAATTTGAAAACAGTGAAATTCTCAGTTTCTGGGAGTACCATTTGATCAGTGTTGACATGCATATACTTGTATAACCCATATGCTGGCAATACATAGCATTTCCATCACTTCTAAAGGTTCTTTATGCTCCTTCCCAGTCAATCCATGTACCCCATCCTCTGCCAAAGCAACCATTGATCTAATTTTCAGAAATGAGTGTTGCCTATTCTAGAACTTCATGTAAATAGAATCATATAGAATGTATTTTTTGTGTCTAGTATGATGTTTTTGAGATTTATCCGTGTTAAGAGTACCAGTGGTTCTTTTCTTTTTCTTTTCATTTATTTTGTTACTTTGTAATGCATTCCATTACATTGTATAAATACCACTATTTGTTTGTAACATTCTCCTGTAAATAAACACTAGGGCAGTATCCAGTTTTTAGCTATTATGACTAAAGTTGTTTGAGCGTCCCTATATACAGCTTTTAGTAGATACATGGTTTTATTTCTCTTAGGAGTAGAATTGCTCCTACTCTTAAGAGAATCAGAGTAGAATCAGAGGATAGATGTATGTTAACATTTTTTAAAAAGTACCAGTCTCCATAGTGCTTCTACCATTTTATGTGCCCACCAATAATCTAAAGATGTTCCACTTCCTCTACCAACTCTAAAATGTTTAATTGTTGTCAGTCTTTAATTTGGTTAGTACCACAAAGACATTTCCCTGATGACTCATGATGTTGAGCACTGTTTCATATGCATTCTATTTCCTAACTACAGAATGGTTGCCTGCAACAAAGATTGTGAAGATGTGCTGTTTTCTTCTAGAAGCTTTACAGGTTTTAGCTAACTGAATTTTAAATAATCCACACGACAGGGCTTGTTAACATACATAAGTCATTGTCAGCAGCCAGTTTGCTGTTCATTTCCTTTTATATTAAAAGGAAGTGTTCACAGAATCTGAAGCTAAACAAGAGTCAGGCAGTCTCTTTGCATTCGCTAGCAGATTTTTAAAGCTGTAGAAACTGTTCTTCCCGTGGTTCTGCTTGGTGCCTGTTTTCCTGCCCTCCTTTTAATGGATATGCTATACTGTTTCATCTTTTTTGTCGTTGTTGCCTTTTGATAAGCAGCCTCAAATTTCGGGGAGAACTCTACAAATATGTATAATAAACTTGGCACGTTAACCAGCCATTAATTTTAAAGACAGTATTTTTATAGCAAGCCGGCAGCACAATTTTGTTTTTAAATAAATTATTTATTTTTATTATAAAAATAATACACATTTACTGTATCAAATTTGGAATATACAGAAACATTTTTAAAGGCCATCTACACACCCAGTACTCTATTTTTTTCATAAATAGTTTTACACAGTTGTGATTAAACTGTACTTTTTATATTTCTTACTTTTTTATATTTATAATCCAAAGTAGATACTATTTTTTTCATGACTGAAGAGTGGTCTATCAAGATGACTGAGGTATATAACTTTGTGTCTGTCTTACCATCATTAACTTATAGTTAGAAAGAACCCATTCCTAGTGTTTTATCTTTAGCATTTAGTTACCGTCAGTTCTTTCTCTCTCTCCATCTCTCTGTCTCTCTGTTCATCCCCACTGCTTTTCTTTCACATTTGCTGGAGAGTAACTCTTCACCTTACCTCTGTTCTCTGAGTCTTTATGGTTTATTAAAGGATGATGTAAATATACTTACCATGTATAAAGTTAAGCAGCAAAGTTTGGAGAAAAGTAGAACACCACAAGATTTTCCATAAAGTTTTGTATGTGTGTTTTATCTTCTAATTTTATTTATTAATTTTTAAAAATTGGGTTTTTTTAGAGAGCACGCACACAAGTCAAGGAGAGGGGCAGAGGGAGAGGGAGAGGGGGAGAGAGAGAGAAAGAGAGAGAGAGAATGAGAGTCTCAAGCAGGCTCCATACTCTGCATGGAGCCTGCTGCCAGGCTCACTTCCACAGCCCTGGGGTCATGACCTGAACTGAAATCAGGAGTCAGATGCTCAACTGACCAAGCCACCCAGGCACCCCTCTTTTAATCTTAATGAGATTCTTTCATTAATTCTTTTTTAAGTAAATAATCTTTGTCCCTGTAAGGCCTGTATTCTTTGATGTTTTTACTGAACTTGGCCTTATTCTTTTACTAATACCTTCTTTATAAACCCTTTTGCTTGAGATATTTATTTTAAAGACCTTCTAAAATAGCCTTTTTCTATTTTAGAAATGATATTTTGGTGAGAGATTTTTAAATGATTTCTTATGACATCACTATGGGGAAATCTACTTTAGAAGACCCTCACATTAGTAATGTTGTAACAAGTCTGTTCTAGAGTTTCCTCTGAGTGGGAAAGTATGAATACCCAAAACAATAATGGGACAAATTCAAAGAAGAATTAGGTACTGTAAGCTTTGGGTTTTTTTTATTTTTTTCTTATCTTTAATTTGTATGTTACAAAATATAGCATATGTGCCCAAAAGTACAAAAGAAAAAAAAAAGTACATGTGCAGTTTAACATGATTATTGTAAAACAAACACCCATGTAATGATCACCCATGGAAGGCAATAGAAAACATTGCCAGTACCTAAGGTCTCCCCCTGCCCCTTCCTAATTAACCTCCCTTCTCCTTAAAGGTAATTATTCTCATGATTATTGTGGCAATCATTTATCTTCTTGAGTTTTTTTCTGTAGTTTTATCAGCTATTTTATCAACTATTTTTTCCTACCTAAGAACTTTCATACAAATGGAATAATAATATCCTTTTTTTTTGCCCTGCTTTGTTAACTTGACATTATATATGTGAGATTCGTCCTTGTTTCTACTTATAGCTCTAATTACTGATTTGTGTTGGGTCTTGTTTTTTTACTTCTAGATTTTGTACTTCAGCTGCTGATATGAAAATAAGGTTGTTTACTTCAGACCTTCAAGATAAAAATGAATACAAGGTATGTTGACAAGTATACTTATAACTCTCTATTTTAAAACATGTATTACTTTTGCTTTTTTAATTGAATTTATCTCAATTTAAAATGACATTTAATGTCATCTTACTTTATTTGACTCTGTTTTAGGCTATAGTAAGGACTATAGGTTATAGATCTGGTAGCATTTATTAAAATATTACATAGGCACAGCAAATGAATGAAAATTAGAAATTCACATTTCAGTATAGTAGTAGAGTAATAAACATGAACACACATAGAGTTGAGTCAGACTTGAAGAGAACCAACAATTAGCACAGCATAGGGCAAGGTGGGATTACAAAGTGCTTAAGGTCACAGACACAGGAGGCAGACTACCAGGGTTTGAAGCCCAATTCTACCGCTTTAGTAACAGTGTGACTGGTCAAGTTCCCAATTTCTTTGTGCTCAGTTTCTTATCTGTAAAATGGGGATAATCATAGTATCTGCCTCAAGGACCATAAGCATTGACAGAGCTAATTCATGTAAAACATTTAGAATAAAGCTTTGTGTATAGTAAGCCCTATATATATGTTTTCTATTAGTATAATAAATAACCCTGTAAAATAAGACAAAGACAAATACCGTATGATCTCAATTATACATGGAATTTTTAAAAGGCAAATTCATAGAAACAGAGTATAATGGTGGTTGCTGGGGGATGGGGGAAATGGGGAGATGTTGGTCAAAGGGTATAAACTTCCAGTTATAAGATGAATAAGTTCTCAAAAAAACAAAAAACAAAACAAAAAAAGATGAATAAGTTCTGGGAATCTAATGTACAGCATAATGAGTATAATGAACAGTATGTGTTACATACCTGTAAGTTGCTAAGAGTAGATCTTAGGGGCACCTGGGTGGCTCAGTCAGTTAAGCATCAGACTTCGGCTCAGGTCATGATCTTCTCATGGCTCATGAGTTCAAGCCCCACGTGAGGCTCTGTGCGGACAGCTCAGAGCCTAGAGACTACTTCAGATTCTGTATCTCCCACTCTCTTTGCTCATGCTCCATTTCGCTCTCTCTCTCTCTCTCTCAAAAAATAGACAAACATTTAAAAAAAATTTTTTTTTTAAAAACGAGCTTTGAGCTTAAATGTTCTTGCCACAAAACAAAACTGGATTTTTGAGTTGTTGTGATTATGGGCTTCTAATACTAACTGTCCCCGGTGATGGCAGTCACATTGAGGAAGTGAATAAAAACCTTAGAAGGTGAAATCCATATGTGTTTATTAGATAAAGAGTGTGCAGAGCAGTAGATGTGAGTTAAAAAGTTGAGGGGGACTCTATCTTAGTACCCCTAGAAAGTTCTTCTAGCTTTAATTTTTGCTTAAGCTTTATGTAATAAAAGGAGGTGATATGAGGACAGGTACAGTAAAAAAAAGTGTGTGTGTGTGTATGCGTGTGTGTGTGTGTGTGTGTGTTTGTAAGAAATGCATACTAGAAAAGAAAGATCAAGCTAATAGCTGTGTGTTGAATGATCAGCTTCTTTCCAAGATAAACCTTCCAGAAAAGTGGGTGTATAAATCATGCTTTAAAAATAGCAAATTGCTTAAGAAATATTTATAGAAAAGGGAAGCATGCAGTGAAAGCTTTTAAGTCAGTGAAGTAAAAATATTAGGTAGGAATATTGTAGGTTATTTTCCGGTGTACTTATTAACTTCTCTCCTTTTATCAGATTTTGGAGGGCCATTCAGATTTCATTAATGGTTTGGTGTTTGAGCCCAAAGAGGGCCAAGAACTTGCAAGTGTGAGTGATGATCATACCTGCAGGTATGTTGCTTATGTTAAAGCCACATTTTTCAATTTTCATCTTATTTTAATGAGAATTACATTAGAAAAATTAGAGAAAATTTAATTTGTATATTTACTCCATAAAATGTTATAAAAGAAGTATACTTGGTTTAAATTGTAAGCATGACACAAACATGAGTTTCACAACTGGTAAGTTGAGTTCTCATCCCAGTTAATGGAAACGTCCCTTGCTGACGCATAGGTGCCTCTCTGCCTCTTATTTTAGATGTGTACATTTATGAAATTTAAATATATAATGGGTCAAATTCTCCAATATCGGGTAAGATCAGTAGGATACTAAAAGGCAATTGCCATACTGTGAAGTTATTTCACAGATCCTGTCTGAAAGTTGTTTAATAATGAATTGCAAATCTCATTTGCTAAACTAAGACTCATGGGAAATTTCCTATTCTGACAAATTTGGAAGTCTCTATATTAAAGGTTTTCTGTAGGGGCGCCCGGGTGGCTCAGTCGGTTAAGCAACCGACTTCAGCTCAGGTCATGATCTCGCAGTTTGTGAGTTCAAGCCCTGAGTCAGACTCTTCTGACAGCTCAAAGCCCGGAGCCTGCTTCAGATTCTGTGTCTCTCTCTCTCTCTGCCCCTCCCCTCCTTGTGTGTACTCGCTCTCTCTCTCGCTCTCTTTCTCTCTCTCAAAAATAAACATTAAAAAAATTTTTTTTGAGATAAAAAATAAAGGTTTCCTGTAGATGTAGTGCATTTAAATATCACATTCTTCCACCTCACCCCAAGTTTGGAATGGATGAGGTAGCTATAACATTTTTTAATAGTGCCTAAAGCTGGAGAATATCACAAGTAAAGAATAAGATGAAGAGTAGGAGGTGGAAATAAGCTGAGGAGTCAGGAGTGAAATGAGGGAATTCTATAGGAGTGCCAATCACTTCATTTGCTTTAACAGTACTGTGAGGAAAAATACCCCACAGCTGTTATTTTACATAGTTTTAATGTTTGATGAGGCAATGACAAAATCATTAGTGTTCATAAACACTTGTATATATATAAAACCATTAAATATGTGTCTTTTCACATTGGAAGTAAAGCCACGAGGAACTTGTTAAATTTTAATCATAACAGCTCATCCTTTTAAATTTATAGAGTCATAGGCCATTATTCTTTATGTACTGCCTGTTAAAATTTTCATGTCAAGGACATGAAAGATTTACATGCCATTAAGATTTTAGGGCCTCACATGTTACAAAACCAAGTTTGTATAGAGAGCTGAAGAGTAAATGGGACCATTTTTAAGGTAAAAGTTAGAATAGATCACTAGATATAAATAATGACATTTTAGTTCTGTAACACATGGACTTTCCTAATCACAAGCATTTGGAATAATGAAACCTGAGAAGGGGGAAAATGAGCGTCTTTGCAAGCCAAGGAACAGCCTCTGAATAGTGAACAATAGCCAAAGACCTGGGATTACATTCAGTGGTCTATTATTACTTTTTTTCTTGTTGTAGAATTGGGGATTTTTGTAGACTAGTAAAATGGTCCTAAAATTTTGGGGACTGAAAAAGGGTTGCCAACTTTTTATTTTGTCAAGTAGTAAGAATTTTAAAATGTCTACTGCCTTTTATTATTACCATCATTTTCTGAAAGTAAGAACATTATTGTTCTAAAAAGGAGAAAGACTTAACTTCAAAGTAAGTCCTTTAAATAAATTTAACTTTAAAAAAAAAAACTTTGTTGCACCTAATTGCCTTATTTTGCTACACTGCAATCAATGATGTTATTGTTCAGCAAATGAATACTCTCCCTCCCCTCTTCCCATGGAAGGAGATTTTCCCACTCCATTGGGCTTAGCTATGTGGCTTGTTTAGGCCAACAAAATGTTAGCTGGTATGATGCAAGCAGATACTTTATCTGATTTACCTGGTTTGTCTTGACCTATTGTCCTCTGTCTTCTGTAAGATGAGAGTGGCCTAGATAGCCACTGGTCCCAGAATGAGAAACACATAGAACAAATATGGACCCATGTGGCATTATGAAATAGAGCTTCCTACAGATTCATGAGCAAGAAATGTATGCTTATTTTTCTTAGCCACTGAGATTGGGGGTTGATAACATCATTTTAGCTGTAGCTAAGGAGCTAAATTTAGAATTTGTCAGCTTAGTTCACCAATCAGAAGTAAAGGATAATTCCAATTGGCTATTAAAGTCAAATGTCTTGGTCCAAAAGCTTAGCAATATAGATTAAAACTTTTAAAAGAAACAGCATAAATCAAGAAGTTTAAAGTAAGGAAGAGTAGTAGGTATCCTACACTTTCATAGTAACAAAGGAAAGAAGGAATTCTGAGAAGACTACAATAGAAAAACATTTCAGGGGTGCCTGGGTGGCTCAGGTGTTTAAGCACCTGACTCTTGATCTTGGCTCAGGTCATGATCTCATGGTTCACAAGTTCAAGTCCCACATCCAGCTCTGTACTGACAGCTCAGAGCCTGGAGCCTACTTCAGATTCTGTGTCCCCCTGTCTCTCTGCCCCTCCCCTGCTCATATTCTGTCTCTCTCTCAAAAATAAAGAAATATTAAAAAACAAAAAAAAAGAACTCAAATCAGTAACCTAAGTTTATATCTTAAAGGAACTAGAAAAAGAACAAAGGAAACGCAAAGATAGCAGAAGGAAGAAAGTAAAGATTATAGCAGAGATAAGCAGAGAATAGAAAACCACAGAGAATTAAAGACATTGTAAGTTGGTTCTTGGAAAAGATTTAGCAAAATTGACAAACCTTTGTCTAGACCAAGAGAATACTCCAATTAGAAAAATCAGAAAAAGTGGGACATTACTACCAACCTTACAGAAATAAAAAGGATTTTAAGAGAATGCTATGAACAGTTACACACCAACAAATTAACCTAGATAAAATTCTGGTAAATTCCCAGAAACACAAAATTCGCAAAACTCAAGAAAAGAGAGAAAATCTGAATAGACCTATAACAAACAAAGAGATTGAATCAGTAATTAAAAGCATCCCAACAAAGAAAGCCCAGGACAGGATGCGTTACTGGTGAATTCTGTTAAACATTTAATGAAGAATCAACACCAGTGTCTCAAATGCTTATAGATAATAGTAGAGAAGGGAACATTTTATAACTATTCTATGATGCCCATATTATCCTGATACCAAAGGCATTATAAGAGAACTGCAAACCAATATCCCTTATAAATATTGATGCAAAAGTCTTCAACAATATCTAGCTAAAACTAGAAAATGCTTAGAAGATAACATTTTGTACTATAAAGGGTAGAGTGAATATTTCTCTCTGACTCCATGCCAACTTAAATAATTTTTAAAATAAATATCTTGATCTATGCATATTTTCTGATGTTTGACTTTGTCATTTCCAAGAGAGACACAGTATTATAATTAGCTAGATTTATGGCCTTAGGGACATCATTTCAAAACGGTATATCCCCTGAACAGATTCATAAAGTTTATGTATTTTATTGAAAATTGCCAAATTCTGAATCAGACAAAATGAAGATAGTTCTTACTTGTACTAGCATGTCACTCTATCTGTTAACAAATCGTCACTTGTATAAAGGACAAACAAGTGTATTCAGACTCAATTAATATAGAGACTAGTCCATTCAGTTGACAAGTATCAAGTGTCTAGTATGTGCCAGGCACCATGCTAGCTAGGTACTTGGTAAGCACTGACTTTTTTTCCCCCCCCTTTGGGGGTTGACAGGGAGGTCGAAAGGCAGTGAACAGTAATCACTGACTTATTTTTAAACCTGTGAATAATCATTTCAGACGAAGGCATTTCAGGCTTCTCCAAGAATCACGAAGATATTTTGTTTTCTATAAGTGAATTGCAATATTAATAAGCAAAAACATTACTAAATATTTTATTGAGTGCTTTACTGTATATTAACCACCATTTACCTATGTAAATTTAATTAATTTTTACAACAACTCTGAGATAAGTACTATTTTTATGCTCATTTACATGATGGGGATATAAGATAAAGAGAGGCCAAGTAATTTGTGGAAAGGGACAGAGCTGTTAAGTAGAGGAACAGGAGTATCAGGCAGTCTGACCCTAGTACCTGCACTCTTACTCATCTGGCATGAGAAGACATATTTGTATCTAAACTATTTCAGCTCTTTCTTACTTCTCTACATTCTGTGATATAATTTCATTAATTTAAACAATGAACCACAGGGCTACTCATAATCTGAAATGTTATTATAGAAGATGAGAGATTAAATTGTAATCTAAAATTTCATCTAGTTTTATATTCTGTGATCTATGTAGGTTTATAAGAAAATTGAATTCTCATTTAAGTCAGCAGTTCTTATCAGTCCCAATATCCCCTTTTTAAAATAAATATTTTATAATGCCCATATACAGTCATAAATGAAACTCATAGAAAATATAAGCTATCAAAATATCTATTCACAAAAAATTATTTTAGTGCCTTGTACTATACATTTCTGTAAAAAAGAAAACTAATTGTTACAGAATAAAAGTGTGGTGTGTATATACTCAGGTAGTCTTTGTCTCTCTTTACAATGAATGAAGTTGAATATCAGAAAAACAAGATGATAGGAAAATATAAGGCAGAGACAAGGCTGCCAAATTTCAGGATTCCAGGGATATGGTTTTATGAAGTACAATGTAAATAGTGCCATCTGGAGTTCTGCAGTGTCATAACTCAGTGTGTCTGAGTGAAACTACGGTTATTAGACTAAAACTCATGTCCATCTTAATAGAAAAAAGTGAAAGAGGGAAATAATGTTTTCAAAGTAAAAATAACACAGTCTTATTGTAGGATGTCAAGTTGAAAAACTAAGGAAGGATAATATTCTTGGAAATCAATCAGTTTTTATATCGATAGTATCAAAATAAATCACTGTTATTCCATGGGATGGAATACTAACAAAGATTGCAAAAACTTTATCTTGTATCTTGAAATGCTCCCGCCTTTAGTGGGATTTCTAAATTTCATTCTCG